GTAGAAAGATGTTCCACCATCAGTAGAAAGATGTTCCACCATCAGATGTAACAGAAACAGTTTTCATGGTCTGATCGATGTTTGACGACTCTCATGTCTTCTTGTGGTTCTCTTACGTCTTTGTTTTCACTTGTAACGTGTGATGTTTTAACACGTGACTGCCGGTCACAGCTCAGTCCGTCACGGCTTCACAGTTACGTCAAAGGCTGCAGGTTTTGTTGTTTTTCACAGACTCTAGCTGGAGCAAACAGTTAAAGATTTTAAGCTCGGATTTGCTTAATTTCTCTGATGAAACAGCAGAGTGATTAGTTCAAGGACCCTGGGACAGAATCAGAGCCTTGCTCTGTTTTTTACAGTTCCTGGTTGATAAATGGGGTCGATTTGTAGGTTTTTTTAAAAGATAATCTGCCTTTCAAACCCAGAGGTGGTTTTAATTCAGATCACTCATTTAAAATTTGGATTTTTGTCTAAACTAGTAAATGTGTAAAATATGGGACCAGGCCCTGCCTACCTTGTGCAGGTGTGCTTCAGTCTCATTGGCTGACTGTGTGACCCCGCCTCTCTCTGCAGCCCCCTCCCTGATGTCCCATCGCTTTGTGACGGTGCGTCGCGGCAGCCCGGCGGCTCGCAGCGGCCAGATTCAGCCCGGAGACCAGCTGGAGGCCGTGGAGGGCCGACCGGTCGGAGGCCTGCAGCACCGAGACCTGGCCCAGATCCTGAGGAGGGCAGGAAACACGCTGAGGCTGAGCATCACGCCACGACACCGTAGGAACACAAATATATATACATATACACATACACATACTAGCATATACACACTAATACACACACACACACATATATATATACACTAATACACACATATATACACACTAATATACACACTAATACACACATATATATACACAGACTGATATTCCAGCAGCGACAACAAACATACAAAAAACCTGTTTTCACTTGTTTCCTTTCTGCTCGTCTCCTTTCCTTGTTTCATTTCCTTTCCCTGAATCTTGACCTCTTCATCTCTCCTTATTACCTCTTTCTCTTCTCTCCTCCTCTCCTTGTCTCCTCTTCTTGTCTCCTCCTCTCCTCGTCTCCTCTACTCCTCTCCTTGTCTCCTCTCCTCCTTTTCTCCTCCTTGTTTCCTCTCCTTGTTTCCTCTCCTCCTCTCCTTGTCTCCTCCTCCTCTCCTTCTCTCCTCTCCGTGTTTCCTCTCCTCCTCTCCATGTTTCCTCTCCTCCTCTCCTTGTTTCCTCTCCTTCTCTCCTGGTTTCCTCTCCTCCTCTCCTCTCGTCATCGACTCTCCTCATCACTTCTCCTCCTCTCCTTGTCTCTTCTCCTTTCCTCATCTCTTCTCCTCCTCTCCTTGTCTCTTCTCCTTTCCTCATCTCTTCTCCTCTCATCGTCTCTTCTCCTCCTCTCCTTGTCTCCTCCTCCATCTCCTTCTCTCCTTGTGTCCTCTCCTCATTTCCTCTCCTTCTCTCCTTGTTTCCTCTCCTCCTCTACTCTCCTCATCTCCTCTCCTCCTCTCCTTGTCGCTTCTCTTCCTCTCCTGTTCTCCTTGTTTCCTCTCCTCCTCTCATTGTTTCCTCTCCTCTTCGTCTCCTCCCATATCCTCTCCTTCCCTCCTCGTCTCCTCTCCTTCTCTCCTCTCCGTGTTTCCTCTCCTCCTCTCCTTGTTTCCTCTCCTCCTCTGCTCTCGTCGTCTACTCTCCTCATCTCCTCTCCTTGTCTCTTCTCCTCTCCTCGGCTCTTCTCCTCCTCTCCTTGTCTCCTCCTCCATCTCCTTCTCTCCTTGTTTCCTCTCCTCATTTCCTGTCCTTCTGTCCTTGTTTCCTCTCCTCTTCGTTTCCTCTCATTGTTTCCTCTCCTCTTCGTCTCCTCTCATATCCTCTCCTTCCCTCCTCGTCTCCTCTCCTTGTCTCCTCTCCGTGTTTCCTCTCCTTCTGTCCTTGTTTCCTCTCCTCTTCATTTCCTCTCATTGTTTCCTCTCCTCCTCTCCTCGTTTACTCTCCTCTTCGTCTCCTCTCATATCCTCTCCTTCCCTCCTCGTCTCCTCTCCTTGTCTCCTCAGACTCGTCCTCTCTTTCAGAAGCAGCTGATCTCGACATCGACGGCAGAATAATTAAAGGATCCAGAGGAAGGTCAAAGGTCACTATTACATTTACTTCATCTTCAACATTCTCCAGCACTAATACTACCACTTACTGCAGTACCAGTACTACCACTTACTGCAGTACCAGTACTACCAGTTACTGCAGTACCAGTACTACTAGCACAATAGTAGTACAACTAGCTGCAGTATTCAGTGTGTACAGTAGTATTTTGTATATGTAGTAGCAGCAGTACTTCCTCTGTGTAGTCGTACTTAGTATATTTAACAGTAGGTTCTACCAGGTTCTACAGTGTTAATCTAGTCTGTGTAGCAGTATTTATCCTGTGGAGCAGTATTTATCCTCTATAGTAGCATTTATCCTGTGTAGCAGTATTTATGACATGTAGCAGTATTTATCCTCTATAGTAGTATTCATCCTGTGCAGTAATATTTACGCTGTGTAGCAGTATTTATCCTGTGCAGTAGTATTTCACATGCGTAGTACTCTTTGTCTCCGTCAGGACGAGTCCAGGTTCTACAGCGTGGATCTTGAACGAGGTCCGACGGGCTTCGGTTTCTCTCTGAGGGGGGGCAGCGAGTACAACATGGGCCTGTACGTACTGGGACTGATGGAGGGGGGGCCGGCCCAGCGCAGCAACAAGATACAGGTACACACAGCGTGTACAAGTACACACTCACACAGGACACAGAGCAAACATGGAGGGGCATGAGTACAAAATAAAGATGCTGCGTAGGATTCATCTACATGTAGGAAAACTCTATCACACAGATCCTAGTAAATGTAAAACACAATAATGTCCTTACTTTGGTCAGTATCAGGTCCAGCATCGTGCAGCGTTTCATTGTCGTGTGATACTACTTACTGCCTGGTTATCACTGCTAACAGGACTTACTGTTGTTCAGTCATGTATGATATTTTTTACTGCATTTAGTCTCGTGTTGTGTTTTTTTCTTTTTTCTGGGAATTTCCTTCGGGATCCGTACGGTTTTATCTCACCTAAAATAAACTATACAACTGTACAGAATATTCATAACACACAGATGTGAATGCGTTGCTGTTGTACCAGGTGACGTACAGCAGTCAGGTCGTGATCTATCAGGAGCTGAGCTGCTTCATCAGCTGATTTCCCCTAAACGGGACGATAAGTTAATGAACTAGCATCATGCTGTACAGAGGGAGACTTGAAACCTGAGACTGAAGCCAGAAACTCAGGAGGAAAACATTTACTGAAGTCACAAATCACAGGAGGGTCGGCTCATTTCCGGCTCATCTATACAACCTGACCTCTTCCAGCACCCAGGGAGGCGCCCCCTGCTGGCTGGAAGACAGAATGCAGGCCTCAGGCTTCACTTTTCAGACCTGGAGGTTCATCTTTTATGCTCAGTGAAGGATGTGATGTGGACTCGGCAGAGACTTGAAACCTCTCAGGACCTGCTGCCTGTTGTTCTTTATGATATTAAAGCGTCTGAAATATTCAGCAGCTTCGCTTTGTGTCTGCAGCTCTGAGACTCTGAGCATCAAACATTCAACATCACAGCTGCTTCACAGAAAACCAGTTTTAAAACACCACTCTGCAGTGTCTGCAGCGCCCCCGAGAGGCTGCAGGGCTCATTACAGCCACAATACAAACAGCTTATGTGTGTGTTTGTCCTGAAGGGGGCGCTACAACACAAACTGCACTTCAACAGAATCCAGGACATGTGTAGCAGCACTGTCTAAAATCACTGAAAATCCACCAGAATTACGAAAAAACAAGATAAGAATTGTCCAAATTGACAAAAAAACTGTTCAAAATGACAATATTTAATAATTACTGAAGCCTGAAAATGAAAAAAGGACATTTTCAAGCATTACCAGTTAATTTACGTTGCAGTGAACAACATCCACATGAAAAATCTATATTTAATAAATAACAATCCACGCTTTTACAATGTTTGACTGTAAAATTATTAATTTTTTCCTGTACTGCTTAAATCAAATAATAAATATAATAATTTTACTAATATTTGCTATTGGTATTTTAAGGCAAAATTTTCTGTTGTTTCATATTTTTAATATCTAGTAAATTAAAAGAAAATAATATTAATTTACATGTTGACTGAAATAAAAACTACATAGTACCTCATCAACAGACTATTAGTACCACAGCATGTGGCTGTAAAGCTGCACAACTTTTATTGTACTTAAATCAGATAAAAATATATTCATTTTACACGTTGGCCATTGTGAATGCTGCAGTATTCCACTGTGTAGTCCACTGCAGATTTTTACAGACTTTGAGTCTGCTTAGGCGTTCTTTCCTTCCAGCCAGCGTTGTTGATTGTTTCTCATACCTGCCGATGCTAACGGCGCCGCTACCTGTTGCTGCAGGTGTCCGACCAGCTGGTGGAGATAAACGGCGACAGCACGTCAGGAATGACCCACAGCCAGGCCGTGGAGCAGATCAGGAGGGGAGGCCACCGGATCCACCTCGTCCTCAAGAAGGGCAACGGATACGTGCCCGACTATGGTGAGGCTTCTAGCTACACGTCTGTTTGGTAACACCTGGCGTACAGGTGAACCGGGTCACACAGGTTTGGCGGTGGTGTGTACTTTCGGGGGGATTTAGACCCTCAGCTGCTGTAATACATCAATCACGTTAAACTCAGGACCCTGAAGACCAAAATGTTCCCACTGAAACACTTTAAAATGGCCGACTACATTTAGACATTAACTCCTGAGGTCCGGACACCTGTCCCAACCCAAACATATTCCCTAAACGACAACAGGCAACATTACCGATCAAAAATCAATTAATCGTCAACGTGAATTGATCCATGTGCTCTTATTGTTCTTATCAAAAGACGTGACATAAGTTGCCAAAGCGATTTACTGACACTTTGTCGAGCAAAGATGTATTTGCAAGTTCGTGTTTTTTTTCTTTTAGCTTATTTCCTGTAAAACTCTCCTCGTGATTTCCTAAAGATCAGCAGCTGTTTATCGTAAATTACAGGATAGATCAAAAAAATGGAACTCCTGCTCATATGTTTGAGGTTTATTTTTTTTCCTTTATGAAACAAAGCTAAGTTGTAGTTTAGGGTTGCAGCTGTCAGCGTTGTCAGTCGCTGTAATCGGTCATTTTTAGTCCCCGTTTCCCTTTTAGCCACTGCTTTCTGCCGTCGTGTGTTTTTTCTGTTGCTGCTTTCTGTTGTTTTCTGACGTTTTTGGTCACAGTTCCGTGTTTCCAGTCACAGATATGCGTCGTTTTCAGGTGGTGGGTTCTGTATTGCTGACCAGTCCTGTCTGCTGTTGTTTTCCGGCAGCATTCTGTCCTTTCTCGTCGCTGTTCATTGCTGTTTTCAGCCACTGCTTTCTGTTGCTTTCCGTTGCTGATTTCTCATCATTTACAACTGTTTTTTGGGTTGTTGTTTTTCACGTCTTAGACTCTAAATGGAAAAGTCGACAGCTTTAACAAACAGCGTGTCTGTAATTCGAAGCAGATGAAGTCAGATAAAACAGTTTCTTTGCTCTTTCTCTTTGTTCCCAATATTTATGTTCTTAATGTTGCATCCCGGTAGATTTTCATCTTTTTTATGTTTTGCAGAATAAGCAGTTTACAGTTAGAGTTTAACACAAGAACAGCGCCACCTGCAGTCTGTTTACCAGACAGGCGGGAGATAAAACGTCCTCACTTTTAGTCCTGATTGCAAACCAGAGAAGTTATTAATTTCCAGCTAATTTTCTGTCACCTTTCCTCACTTTGCTCTGAGCTCCTCCTGCTCTCTGACTGTCTGATCTGCTGTTTTCCTTCCTGCTCTTCCTCCTCCTCCTCCTCTTCCTCCTCCTCCTCAGTGGAGCTGTCCAGCCTGTCTCTCTGTATGACCAACTCTAAACAGGGGGAACCCTGCTTCTACGTCATCGGACGAACTGAGAACTCGCGGTTGGTAATTCTGATTCCTCTCCGCTGCTTTTCATCATCTTCATGTGTGTGTCGCTGCAGCATCGTCTTCATGTCATCATGAGCTTCACTCGCTGACATCTGGTCATTTCACATGATGGTAGCATGTAGCTAACCACCACTAGGGTGGTGGGGGGCGGAGCATATCCCAGCTGACTCAGGGTGAAGGCAGGTTCACCTGGACAGGTAACCAGTCTATCACAGGGCTACACTTAGAGACAGACAACCAAGCACACTCACATTCACACCTACGGACAATTTACAATCACCAATTAACCTCAGCATGTTTCTGGACTGTGGGAGGAAGCCGGAGAACCCGGAGAGAACCCACGCTGCACGGGGAGAACACGGAGACTCCCCTCTGAGCTTCATTTCACTGTTTTCTGTTGTTTTCAGTCCTTGATTTTATGCTGTTCCCGTTTATGTTTCATAATTTTCAGCCCCCTTGTTTTCAGTCGCTGTTTGTTCCTTCATCAGACACTAATTTCACTTAAGTTCCAAAACTGTATGCTGTTGTTTTCTGTAGTTGTCAGCAAAAAAAATATATAGATATATATTATTATTATTGTCCAAGATAGAAGCTCAGATGTTGGTGCAGCCACAACTTAATATCTTGACATCATCACTCAGAGAATGAAAACGTCAGATTATTACTGAAACTAAACGAATGATTATTTAAACAAATAAGGCACGATGAAAATGATCATTACTGTGATCGTTTTCCATATTTTATTGGCTCATTTGTTGATTCCAGGTCGACGCCGTTTGAACTCAGCCTCTCGGTTTATTAACGATGTTTTGTGACATCAGAGCCGAGATGCGAACGTGATTGGCTGAGACATCTGTCAGTCAAAACCCAAACTACTTCTCACTGTGACTCTTTATATCGCCTCTTTTATCATCAGATACTCGTTGAGCTTCAGTTTGTCCCCATTTACTGTCATGTAATTGACCAAACAGCCAATCAGTTGATTAATCAATCAATAAATAATCATCAGTTGTGTCTGTTTGTCCGTCAGGCCCTGAGGAAGGAGCCCTCTCCCCCTCCTCCTCTTCATACACCGAGGAGCAGGATGTGGATACAGTAGCCATGACAACCGCCTCTCTCAGCCGGCAACCAGGAGGAGGAGGAGGAGGAGGAGGAGGAGAGAGGAGGACGAGGAGGAAGAGGAGAGAGGGAGAAACCAAACACAGAACAGGATCAGGAGGAGGAGGAGGAGGAGGGTTCGGACCTCCTGACCTGGACCTGGACCTAGTGGAGGAGAAAGCCAGAGAGGAGGAGGAAGAGAGCAGGAAGAGGAAAGAAGAAGAGGAGGAGAGAAGGAGACGAAGGGAGGAAGAGGAGGAGAGAAGGAGACGAAAGGAGGAAGAGGAGGAGAGAAGGAGAAGGAAGGAGGAAGAGGAGGAGAGAAGGAGAAGGAAGGAGGAAGAGGAAGAGTGGAGGAGAAGGAAGGAGGACGAGGGGGAGAGAAGGAGAAAGAAGGAGGAAGAGGAGGAGAGGAGGAGAAAAAGTCAAACAGTCCGACAGAAGAAGCGGGACGACCAGAAGGAGCAGGGGAGGAGGAGCAGGAGCTTACCCAGGAGCGGTGCTCGATCCTGGGAATCGCCGCCGCTGGAGGAGGGGGTGGAGGAGTATGGAGGCGGGGGAGAGAGGGAGAGGAGGAGGAGTGAGACGAAGAGCCTGAGGGGGGAGGAGAGAGACGCCGGCTCCGCCCGCCACGCAAAGCATGCTGGGACCTCGGCTGCAGCTCAGAAGGCGGCGTTCTCCTTCCTCATGCCGATGGACGGCGACGACGAGCGTCCGTCCGACAGCGAATCAGCAGCCAGCTTCTCAGAGGTCAGCCTATCAGCAGCCAGCATCGCCACCGGTGGCTGGAGGGAGGATTGGAGGAGAGCCGAGTCGGCGTGGCGACAGGGGAACGCCCCCGGGCCCTGGCTGAAGCCCAGCCCACAGAGACTGACCCAGGTTCTGAGTGGCAGCCGGCTCAGAGGGCGGGAACTACTCTCTCTCTGATTGGCCAGCAGTGAGGACATTCTTTTATTTTTAATTGGGTACTTAAAAGGGCTTTTTTGATTGGCCTGTTGAGAGAAGCCCCGCCTCTCTTTGTGTCTTATTGGATGATATTTCTGTTTCTGATTGGACGATGAGACGCAAGCAGGAAAAGATTTCTGATTGGCTGGTGGGCGGGTTCCGAGGCCTCTGATTGGCAGAGCCGCCTACCTTCATTTTGAAGTCACCCATCATCCCTCAGTGCATCCTGAGACCTGTATCATGAAGCCACATCGGTTGTTTTCCACTGCAGGAGCTCGTAGCACGTTCCAGGACAAACAACAACAACAACAGATGTAAAGTTCTCTCACAGGAAAAGCTGTCAGAGGTATTTGTGGAGAAACAGGAAGTTCCTGCAGTGGAAAGTCTGTTATCAGCTCTCTCTGGGCCCCAATGCTCTGATTTCACAAAGCTGGTGGGCTTTTACCTGGGGTAGATCACCATGGTAACCAGGGTACATCCCAGTGTTGACCAGTGTAGGGCAGTAACACGTGACTATACTAACATTTACTCACCCTGTGTCACCCAGCAAAGATCAGGAATCAACACAAAAGATGCTGAATCACTGGTTTGAGCTAAATCTGGCATTAAAGCTCCTTATTCCACTCTTTTGTGAGCACTGTTTGGTCTCTCGTCGGACTGAACTGCAGCTGATGGAGACTAGAAGCTTCACCGCACTAGCTTCCAGCATGGGAGGTGTTCAGGGAACATCTGTCAGTAGTATTGTCTGTTGATAAGCAGACGTTCAGCCAGGGAGGAGAAGTGTCATTTACATTCAGCCTCTAGGAGACGATCAAATCAAATCCATAAAGAATTGTGACGAGTAATCCTGAAGTCACACAGCCCAACAAACTCAGACGTCTTTGGCAGATTTACAGTTATGCGACTTTATCTTGTTATTTATTTTCTATGCAGCTGCACTCCTCTCCAAATACACCCTAGAAGGATTCATTCTTTCCTGAGTGATGCAAGTCATCTGCTGAGAACTCCTGTCGTTTTTTAAATACATAAACAACATTTCTAAAGTTTTTTTTCCCCCCATATCACGCAGCCCTAGTGGCGATGTACCTGGTTGCCGTGGTGATCAGCAGACATCACCGCCAACTCGGTTCGATCGAAATGTTAAGGCGGTGGAGTGGAAGCGACTCCAGCTTCGAGAAGTCGGGTCTAAACCTGCCTCGTTGTGTTTTTATATTCACCTCCATGTTTCATCCTGAGATCACACGTCACTTGATTCAAGCGACAGAACTGATGATGAGTGACGATCAGCTTCGTGATACAGGCTCTGCAGACCGACGCGACGCTTCGGTTCAGAACGTCGCGGCTGCTCTGCCCGTGGCTTCATCACCGCCGTCGCCGCCATCCCCTCCTGCATCCCTCCGACTCCCACAATCGTATGCAAACAACATGTGAAGCGGGACGCCAGCGCTGTTTCTCTCTGTGTAATCTGAGCATGTGAATATCACTGGAATGATTTTTTATTTTTATAAAGCTGAACGTGTAAAGGTTCGATGACATTATTAATATTATTAATATTATAGATTAAATAGAAGCAGAGATGATTTGATTTGCCTGCTTGCTTGTAAAAACAAAAGAACAAACTTTGCCCTGATGATAAAACAGAGCCATACACACACACACACACACACACACACACACACACACACACACAGATGTCAGGTCCAGCTGTGGTCCTGTCGGCTGTCAATCACCACAGCGTCACCACGGCAACATGACCTGTCTCCATAGCGACAGCCGTGGTGGAGCGGGACGACCTGCAGCTCTGGATCATAACAAGTGCCTCATTTTATTTCAGCCTTCGTCCTGCGAGCCGTCGCCGAGGAGACGCCGCCGCCGCCGCCGCACCTTCTGTCCAAGCCAAGACCTTTCAGACGCCGCCATGTCCCATCATGCACCTCAACGTCCCACCCCACTGAGTTAGTCTGTGTTCAGTCAGGGCTGCAGATAATGATCGGCTTCATTACCGACTCATCTGCAACTTCTACCAAGAACAGTTCTGCATCGACAGTCTCACAGAATTATTTCATTATTTCTGACGGCAGAAGGAACAGACGTCACAACTTTGAACTGGTCCAACCGGGCGGAGACCGCCGGGTCTGATTTATTTAAACTAACTGACAACACGTCGAACAGAAATAACAACTGCAAAGAGACACAACATTGCCCAAAACCAATAGCGAGGGACACAAAACGGCGGCAGAGAGACAGAACTGATACAAAGAGATGCAAAATGAACACAAAACATTGCAAAACAACAACAAAGAGACACAAAAGGACCTCAAAGAGACATAAAAACTAAACGTGAAGTGACAAAAAAACAGAAGCAGTCGACTCCAAACTAACCGATGTCAAAGAAGTCGTCGCCGTTTCTGCGTTTTGCTCTAAAAGTCTCAACAACCAACATGTAGACCATCTAACAACAGCAGCCGACTGGTCTGTGATTTATTCCTCAATAGTTGTTGTGCTGCGTCACCATCTGACACATTTTGAGAAATCTTCTGAGATCTGTGCAGCTGCTCTGCTCCCAGTCTGTTACCAGGTCAGCATTAAACCAAAATTGGTGCAAAGTCACCACAGAAAACAAACAAAATCACCACGAATATATGCTAGATTACCATAAAATGCACAAAAGCCCCACGACAGAATGCTACATAACCACAAAAAGGTGCAGAGTCACAAAATATCTATCGATGAGCAGCTTTAATTCATACTTTGCCTCTCGGAGATGCTCTGAATTGTTTTCCGTCTGGTGTAGATGTGTACATCAGCAGAGACGTAGCACAACCAAAGCTCTATTTATCCGCGCAAATAAAGCGAGTATACAGAGATTTTGTCCATAAATAAAGGAATAATTGTGCTAAATGCTCATGCAGCGCCGACAGTTTAACTTCACTGAACAACAAAGTGAAACTGAGCCAAAGATCGTCTGTAACGTCACAGAAGCTTCATCCTGTAACGGAGCTCGACGCTGCTAAATGTTTAGTGCATCGACTGAAAGAGATGAAATTAATTTGATATTTTTCTTTATATCAAGCTAGCGTGTTTGCAGATTTCAGCAGGTGAAGTGTGTTCTTTCAGTGTAGGTCGAACACGTTGGGAGGTTTAATGTGCTTTAATATAAGCAGCGGATCAATCTGTCATGAACACAATGGTTATCTGCAGCCCTGCGTTTCTTCCATCTCAACTTGTTCTGATGTCTGATCAATAATTTAAGCTGATCTCATTCATAGTTTTGGATTAAGTAGCTCATGAAGAGTCAGATGAACACAAACCGTCTGTGCAGCTGCTGCTTCCTTCTAGTTTCATACTTACTGAAGCTCTACAGTTACTGAGTTCACCTGGAGGAGACACATCATCGAGCTGTTACACTAACCCCCAACGATCTGGATCATTGATTTGTCAGTCTGAGTAATAAAACAGTAAAAAAACAGTCTGCAGTCTGTGATTGCAGCTTCTTCAGTGTGAATATTTTCTGCTTTCTTTCCTCTGCTGTGACAGTAAACTGAAGATCTTTGGACAAAATAAGACATTTGTTGTTTTGGGCATTGTACAGGCCAAACAGCTGATCGATTAATCCAGAAAATAATCAACACATTACGCAACATTTTGTCATGTAATTAAAAACTCTTGGTAAACCTGATTGTCTTGCTGCTCTGAGCATAAACGTTGTTTTTTAACGTCCACATTATGCTCTAATAAAAACAGGACGTTACAAGATCATTTTATTAAAACAGCTGCAGCTTTTATACATTTAGAATTTCACTGAGAGATGTTAGAGACCTGGTCAAAGAGACAAAACAAATCCACACAGCAGGGGGCGCTGCTGCTGCACAGACGGCTTCATCGATCCTCAGTTAAAGGTCAGATCAGCAGCACTGAAAGCAGAATCTTAATCAGGACACTAATGCAGTTTTTCCTGTTCTGCATGTAAAGATGTAAATATCTTCCATCACGTTTTCTGCATCACTTTACTGTCTGTGTCCATCCAGTTGAACTACATCTCCCACAAACCCCCGCGCTGCCCTTTAGCCCCGCCCCTCAGCCTGCTCTCTTTAAGGGCATTTGGATCTTCTATGCATTTTCTAAGACTGTCTGCCAGCAACTGATCCTCTGATTGGATGTGATCAGCAGCTGATCGGAGGAGCCCAGACTCTATCGACGGGTCTGAATATTCAGGTTCTGGTCCAAACAGACCAGGAAGGTCACGCAGGATTTCACCATCTGCTCTGAGACGGCAGGACGGACACGATGGACGAACGTCGCTGAACTGTGGGTTTAATAAAGTTTTTATGTCCAGCTGTAAACACAGAACTGACTGGTCAGCTGATCGTGGCCTGTTATTGATCGGTTTGTGTCTAGATCCAGTCTGACTTTAAAACACCGAGCTGGACCAGAACCAGCTCGCTTAACCTGAGCTAACTGTTAGCTAACTGGCCTCATTTAATAAACAAGCTACTGTTCAAAGTTCACCTGGACAAATCTGTTCCTTCACTTTCTGTTTACAGTTAGTCTGACTTATTTTCAGGTTGTTTCACTTTCATAAAGTGGGCTTAACAAATAAGTCAGGCTTATTTTAGTTAGTCTAACTTATTATAGGGTTGTTTCACTTTCATATTGCAAATTCATCACAGTTCAAACTCAATTACGCTGGAAACTTATGCTTATAAACTAACCTGGACCAGGGCAGGCTAACTGTCAGGCTAAGTCGGAGTTATTAATAGTTAATAACACCTTTAAATGAAGGTAAGAGTTTCTCCACGTCCAGCGGGTTTTCTAAACTTTCGGTTCTCTGGTTTTGTGACGAGAGAAATAAAACTTCCGTTTAAAGTGTGTCAATAAGGCGTAACAGGAGACGCCTTGTTAAAATGCACACAGTTGTCTCTGATTTACAGCTACACATATAATTAATGATTATAGGATAAAGGTTTTTGCAGCAGTCAGTTCAAATGTGTTTCATATAGTATAAAGTGTTGACTTCTGACAGCCTCAGAATCAAACACACCAACACCAACAGCTCGTCTGATATGCAGACTTTTCCTACCTGGTAGCTGAATCCTGGCCGTCACAAAAAACAAAACATCCAAAGGACCTCAGCTTTATTCCTCTCAGCTCGCCTGTCCAAGAAATAACACACAGGTTAGTCGATCAGAGCTGCATAAAACCCTGCAGTTGTTATAATACAGTCGTCCCTTCTTGTTTCCTGGTTGCTGTGTTTCCACTCTGTTGTGCTGGTTTCGTTTTAATTTAGCTCGGTTTTGGGCTCCACCAGCTCCTGAGGGGAACATCTGGCTCTCTGGACGCACAATGTTTTACTGGATGTGTTTTTTAAGGTATTGTGTCAAAAAAGGTCGACTGAAGGGGCAAAAATCGAGAACAAAAACGTTCAAAATTCCAATTTCCCACCAATTTTTCCCGTTCACTCGAGGCAGTTTTTGGACCGTTTCTAAAACATGAATTCCATCTGAGTCCACCTGGCGAGGTTCAGTCCAACATTTTCTCTCTTTGAGCTCTGATTTTGGACCAGAGTCTTTAGCTGCTAAATTCTGCACTCGACGTGTTTCAACGACATATTTTTGTGCATATTTTAAAGTATCACACTAAAAAAAAGGTTGATGGAAACAACAACAAAACACAAAAACTGTGGCCTCAGTTTGTTTTTGTGTTTCATTGGACAATAAAACATTTTTCTGATCAGCTGTTTCTGCTTTCAGAGACTCTGGATGATACAAAACGTGGTCCTGCCCGTATTAAAGAACTACGTTTTACTGCTGTGTATTTTTTTTTACTTAAGTAGGATTTCATTCGTGACTTCAACTTGTAATGCAGTAATATTACTTCACTCTTTTAGCATTTTTACTTTAGTAAGAGGTCGGATTACTTTGGAGAGAACAGAAGAAAAACACTGAGTCTGATCCACACACTTCCATGTTGTTTTAGTAAAATGATGTGAGGAGGTCTGAGAGGAAGCCACACCGCCGCTTTGATGTTCAGCCACGTGTTTGTTCGTGTAAAATCTCAATCAGGAACTAAATAATAGGAAACTAAACAAGTAATAGAGTGCAAAGTACAAGAATTAGCTTCATGATGTGATGACGTGTACTCAAGTATCAGAGCTTGAAATTACACTGGTAAATATACTTGTTTCCATTTTAACTCTGAGTTAAAAACTGTTCAAAAACTCTGAGTACAACATAAAAATATTTCCATGCTTCTCCTCCGACTTTAGTACTCTAACTACATTTAGCTGCTGTGTAACTGAAGTATCCGAGTACTTCCACCACCACTGTTTAACACTAAGTACCTGAGTATACAGTTAGACAGTAGTAGTGGCGGGAAAAACCCATAAACGTTATATTTCATCGTTGTTAGCTGAATAATGTATAAACAACATGACTGGATGACACAGCAGCTGTCGCTAGCTTACTTGCTAACGAATAGCCACGAAGCGCTAATATCAGCTAATAGCAAACATTAGCCGCTTTAAACTGATCTAACTAAGTCGCTTTTAAACTGAAGTCACCTGAAAACGCCTTATTGGTGTTTAAACTCAACATGGCGCCACATTAACGTTACCTGAGCCCTGCCTCTGTCTCCATCTGTTGTCCGTAAATTAGCATCGTTAGCTCTGTGCGCTGTGGAGGGACAGACGCATGCGCAGTGAAGGGGAGCATAACCTAATACGAACACGAAGAGGAGCGTAACACCGGCGGGTGTTTACCGGGCGGACAGGTGTGATAACGTGCTCACCTGTCTGCACAGTCCTCTGTCCGGGCACACCTGTGTGCAGGTAGAGACGCGGCGATTAAATCCACCTGGTGGCAGACAAGATGGCGGCCATGGTGAGGCCTCCACAGTTTTTATTGATTGCAAATATATGTTTAAAACTGAATTAATATTTTCAAATATATATCGAATATACGGTTTATTCTTTAATATATGTGTGCATATATATTTTGCTTATTCTTAAGTCTTTTTATCAGCATTAAAATATATTGTTAGGGTATTTTTTGAAGCTCATAACTGTGAGAATGTGTTTACCAATGTCTATTTTTAAAGATTATATATATATATTAGAGATAAATGTTTAATACATTTGAAAAAAAACACATTAGTAAATCTTTTTAGCAATGAGTATTGCTATTTTTTGAATATATATTAAAAAATAAATGTATTTATTGAAAAAATATATTGAATGTTGAATATATTTAACACATATTGATATATTTTATTAATCTAAATATGAATACATTTTAATTGTATCAGTCTTTTTAAACATATTGATTTATATACAAACATATTGATGTATTTTAGAATGCATGTTCACAATATAGTAAAACTGTTTGTTATTAATAGAATAATTGATCAGATTTATAAAGCGCTTTTCTGGACACTCAAAGACGCTTTACACTGTCAGTTATTCATTCACACACATTCATTCTGGTGGTGGTAGCTACGATTGTAGCCACAGCTGCCCTGGGGCAGACTGACAGAGGCGTGGCTGCCATCCTGCCCTCCGACCACCACCTCAAACAATCCATTCATTCACACCAGGCAGGTGGTGAAGTGTCTTGCCCAAGGACACAACCACCATGAAACAGGTTAGAGGGCAGAATCGAACCGCCGACCTTCCGATCATCGACCTACTCGCTCTACCACCTGAGCCACAGCCGCCCCCAAATATGACATTAAATATGATTCATAGTCGACACAAAAACAGCCGATATCTTTATATCATCTGATTGGAATTAAACTGTAAAGTATTTGCTTAATCTCAGTCATTTACAGGAGATCATTCTATTCACAATAATTCATAAATATCTGAACATATGCAGTGAAATAATAGAGATTCTACATGATGAGAGCTTTTTTTAGGAAACATCACAGGACAAAGGTTGTTTTTCTTTCAGCACAGTCTCCTTTAACATCACTGATGTTCAAGCTTCACTTTCCCGTCACAGAAGACGTTCACATCTTGAGCCTCCAGATTCTCCTCAGCAGCAAGATGACTCTGAAAATGAGATTTCAGTTTGGGAAACAGACAGAAGTCAGGCAGTGCAGGTTAACAGGGTCTGTGGAGTGACAGTTCAGAAGCACATTTGGCTTCTTCTGCTGCCCGATGCTGCAGGACAGAACCACTGCAGCAGACACTGATAGGAGGCTTTAGAGTTTACGGCTACGATCCTTGTTTCTGGAGGAAACAGACAAGTTGAAGTATCTCGTTAAATACACACAAACTCCAACTCAAATAACATCATCACACTTCTGTCTCCATCATCATCACTACGTTCTTCCAAACCAAACCATCCAACTCTGATATGAAGACCTGGATCAGGATGAACCCTGCAGACGACCTGCTGACCTCCGTCACCTTCAGCAGCACAACAGCACTGTACAGCCTATCGGAGGGCATCCAGAGCACAGGAGCTCAGGAATTCCATGTCATTGGACAGTAAACACAGTTTAAACTCTGTGATCAGTTGCCGAGTCCAACTTTCGAAAGACAAAAGGAAAAAGTCCACCTGGTTACCGAGGCGACCACAAACAGACGGGGGATGCTGATGTGGAGCTGCTGCTTCACGATCCGTCAACGTTTCCAACTCCAGGTTTCAGGCTGTGGTTAGAGAACAAGATGTCAACATGCAACAACCGTTTGCTGCGTGTGTGTGTGCGTGTGTGTGTGTGTGTGTGTGTGTGAGTGTGTGAGTGTGTGTGTGGCTGCGCTAACGGCTAACGGATGAGCCTGTGTGTTGGTCCACGTACATCAGTGTGTGTGAGTGAGCTGTGGTTGCTGATATTTCATGTCATTTATCTGTACCCAAACAACACACACACACACACACACACACACACACACACAGGGTGGAGGTAGGGGGAGGCAGGAGGCTCTGGCCGGCCTCAGACCACTAACCGCCCTCCTTCAGCTCCCTTTTCCTCTCTTGGCCCTTTTTTTTCTGATTCCGGAAAACCAGAAGCCTCCTGGTTGCACAACATGGGTGGGGGGGCGATGAGAGCACACGATGTCCTGTGACAGGCTGAGGCCTCTTACAGCTGCTGCCATGGCGCTGGTTAGATGAGCAGGAATCACTACAGTCTCTGTGTGGCGTTCAGGTGCCTCCACTCTGAACCCTCAGACTGAGCTCAACTCATGTGGGAGATTAAAAAAAAAAAAGTGAATCTGGAGTTTTATTAGAAGTTTGATTAGCTTCTCAGTCGATCACTTCCTGTTTGGGACATGTTACCAGAGGTTAAAGGACCACAGTGAACATCTGTGAATCCTCTGACTGACACCAACAGAACAAACATGTGATAAATGAGCACAGCAGTGAGCAGCCGCATGATGTCACTGATTAACAAGATCATGTAACAGATAAGATTAACTTCCAGGACTGGTCTGTGCACGTTTCTTTGTTAGTGAGTGAGTCTTGAGCTTCAATCAGAGGTAGCAAGTTTCACGGTGGTTACGTTCAACGTTTAGGTTTTCTTCATCAAGCTCTGAGTGGGAAACATTTGTTACCATGGTGATTTAACTGTGCAGCATCTGTTACCATGGTGATCTAGCTCTACAGCATCTGTTGCCATGGTGATCTAGCTCTACAGCATCTGTTACCATGGTGATTAAACTGTGCAGCATCTGTTACCATGGTGATCTACATGTGTAGGATCAGTTACTATAGTTATCTGGCTGCTTAGGATCTGTTACCATGGTGATCTAGTTATGTAGAATCTGTTACCATGGTGATCTAGCTATGTTAAATCACTTACTATGGCGATCTGGCTGTTTAGGATCTGTTACCGTGGTGATCCAGCCAGCTGTGAAATCATTGAAAAAGCTTGTGAGTAATGTCACCAACCTGAACCAAAAACTGAAAGACACCAGAGTCTGTGAGCAGGTGTTTATTAAACCCTGGTAGAAAAACAAACACACACAGACACACAACCGTGTCACTAAAACTATGGCTAAGATGAAAAGCAACAAAAAAACAAACAGCATCATCCGAGAGAGATGGAGCTCCAGACTGAGTGAAGGCAGCGTGACACATCCACAGAGCAGCTGTCTGGAACTACTTTATGAACAGTTACAGAACAGTGTATCCTTCCACCCCACAACAAGGAAGCGTTCCATAACTCGCAGCAAAACCTGATTGGTCAGCCTTCCTCTGGATCTTAGTCTTATTGGTAAGTTTGCGCCTCCTGGTTTGGATTCCGTCTCTCTTCAGGGCTAAAGGCCGGTTCACCTGCAGACACAACCTCAGAGTGAAGTTCTAGAAGCAGGACAAGCACGTCATAGCTGCAGACTGTGCTACAGCTTGTAGGATAGTCCGTAGTACAGGTTGCAGTGCTGTTAGCAGTACCTGGTGCAGTCGGTAGTACAGTCCACAGGCGTTGCAGACGGGTTCTCCTGCAGCGTTCCTCCTCCACAGCGTCGTGACTTCAGTCTGACAGTTAAAACACTGAGTTCCTTTTCTGTGAGTCGCCGTCTGAAAACACAAAAATATTATGTTATATTATATTATATTAGATTAGATTAGATTAGATTATTATAAATATGTAGCAACAACCAGGCCTGTGTCTGCGATGCAACCTGCTTCACTTTAGGCACTATTTTAAAACAGTGTCACGACTATGAATCGATAAAGATGTTGATGTGCTCGTGTCTCACAGCTCTCCTCTTCGGTCTCAGCAGTGGTGTGTTGTTGTTGTTGTTGTTGTTGTTGTTATTGTTGTTGTTGTGGGTCTGTCGGAAGCTGCAGGTGTTGCACAGGTGTCGTCCTGCAGCGTCTCTCCTCCACAGGGGGGCGCTGCAGGTCCCACAGCTCACACACTGACGCTGCTCTGAACACACAAAACACACACACATCAACTCACAAAACACACAAACACACACACAATGACACACGGGCAGGTCAACACTCACCTGGCCCACAGCCCCGCCCCCGGCACGGACCACCAGGTAACATCCAATCAGCTGCAAAGGGGGAGGGGACAGTATACAGGTCGCCATAGTAACCGCTCCAGGCAGCTGCTGATTGACAGCTGGCGTTGTTCAACAAGAGGGAGGAAGGCGGAGCCTCAGGAGATGTGAAAGGTGATTGGAGGAGAGTCTCTGAAGCGGCGGCGCCGAACTGCAGTGATGAGGCAAAGAACAAACGTTTTTCACTGAGAACCTGAATGAGAACAGAAGTCTGTCACCTGTACAGGTAAAGAAGAAGAACACAGTCTGGTGCAGGAAACACTGATCGACCTGCACACTGGTAATTATCACCGCTTAGCTCAGAGAAAGAACCTCAAAATTATGAAATCATGAGCCAAAAAATCTGAATAATGAGAAGAGACTGCATGTGTTTCACGTCTGTCCATGAAAGCGTTTGGTTGAATGAATTGATCAACCAGAAACTGTACAAACACAAAGACTCATTGGATTCAAACCTTCCAGACGGTCCTTGAACTCACCATCTGTCAGAAAATGTAAACAAAGCTGAAGGTCGAATTCAATTTTATTAAAAAACACTTTATGAACAAGTCTCATTTAGAAAACCTGGCTTTCTTTTTCTTTTTTTTTTTAATTGACCGTCTTATTACAACCATGAAGTCATTACTGACTCAAGAGTCACAGAACAACAATTCAGAGTTCTCAGCTGAACTGCAGGCAGTGTTTCCACGAGTCTGGACACCTCTTTAAAAATGTATAAGTGTGCACACTATTGCTCTGGTTTCTGACTGAGTCCAGCTGACGGAAGACCTCTCTGAGTTCTGTCTCCTCCTTCATGTGGTTCTGGTTCCTCAGAGCTGCTGAAACATGAACATCAGTGAAGGAAACTCAGGCTCAGGGTCCAGAGGGTCAATACACTTTAGAAAATAGTGACATATTAGTGAATATTAACACTTCCCAGAATTTTAAAACCATCCTTCTTGAGAAAATTTCATGTCAAATCACCTTTAAAAGTGTTTCTGAAGTCAGTTTATTACTCAGGACAGAAAATCACCAGATTTCTGTAAAACATTTTGCAAAAAGTTTTTCTCAGGGTTTCGTGGACGTTCAGCACAAATTTGAACCAATTCAGCCCCACATAAATTATATATATATTTATATATATATACAGTTTATTTTGAGCAGAGCTTTAGTTTAATCACACAAACTTAGAAAGAAAATCCCAGATATGAAGATGAAGGTTTCACACAAGTTTCAAAATAAAATCTGTTGCTACAGAATAAAATAAAACAAAAAGCTGCTGAGAAGTGGATTTATTAAGAGATTCTGACCTTCGCGCTGAAACTCGTCGTCACGGACGAGGACCAATCAGCTGACAGCGAGCAGTCCGACATCATGGCTGTGTTTCCGAGAGAAGAGAGACGAGAGTGAGAGCTTCTCTGATAACCCTGACAGCAAAACATCTCAGATATTCAAAGGAGGACGTGACTCTGATGGAGGAAGAGGAGTTAGACTCCGCCCACAAACTCTGAGCTGCTTCCTCAGTTTGGCAGTGAGGAAACTAAAATGACGTTGACTGCTGGAACGCGAAGCTTCATGTCTGCACAGCGCCGATCAGTTAAGGCAGATAAAACAGGACTCGTAGTTTTTATTGTCATTTCTTTAGTTTTTATACAGTCAAAGTCCTTTTTATTCACAAGGAATGTTTGAAACAAGTGGAGAGGAAAAAAAAGCACAAAAACACAATAACAGCATCCCAGAACTAAAGATACAAGGATAAGAACAAAAGATGAAGTCAAGGAGTCAAACTTCATGAATCAAACGCCAAATAAAACAAGTTCTTAAAGTCTGAGCAGTGAAAAGACAAAGTGCTGGATCTGAACGTCTCAGAACATTTAGGATCTACAGGACAGAATACTTTCATTTATTTTAACTCTCTGAACCACAAAACCAAACTAGAGGCTCAAAAAGGACATTCATCAGCCAGAAGGTCCTTGAATGTGTCGTGTGTGATTTCTATCAGGAAAACGAAACACATCGAAACTTTAAAAATCATTTAATTCTAGATGTCTCATTCAAAACGTCACCAAAAATTCCACCATCAGCTGATTCTCCTGTGAGCAGCA